CACACCTGGTCAGACTAATTGCCGGAGCAGTTTACAAAGTTTATAAAGGGTTATACAACTAGCCATTGATTAGACATTATCATTTAGAAATTAGTACTTTTATTGTCAAACTACGTCTTGTAGTAGCCTAAAACAAAATGACTATCTTGAAACTGGCTGAAATTCACAATCTTGCCACCACAGATTTGGACAATTAATGAGTTTTAACACTGCTCTGTTCTGAATCAGAAAGATGAAACTTAAAGACGGAAATCAGAACAGGAAAAAAAAACAACAGTTCTCATTATGAATCATCTGTCATTTTCTGTTTTTTTTTTCTTTTTTTTAAATAATGAGTCACAGATACTCCATGATAAATCTTAACATTGTAGGATCTTTCACACTTTATAACCTCTATCCTTGATTTCCATCACAGCAACATCCATGCACAGCATAGTTATGTTTTTTCTGATATAACACAGTTAAGAATCATATCATTAGCAAATTATTATCCCCACTGTGAGCTCAAAAAGACATGTTTTTGAAAAAAGAAAATAGGTAGTGCAGGAAGGGCTCCAGGACTGGAGTTGGGAGTTACTGCACTAGACGATGTGGATCTGAGACATTACAAGATCTGACACTTGTACAGACCACACACTATGTTTAAAAAGTGTAAACTCACAAGATCAGATCTTTAATAATATGGACAAGTAGTTGTGGCAAACTGGCAGCACTCTACTGTGAGCTTACATCTCTAGCATCTCTGGCCACCAGGCTGTAATTACATGGCATTGATCTCACTTACTTTATTCATCATTTTATGCATTTATTTATTTATTTAATCTCGATGCCTTACATGCAAGCTGCCATCTGTAGTCTGTAACCTAAGCGCTGTGCTTAGAAGTGAGAGATTCATAATTTCAGCACATGGTCTTCAACAGGGATGAGCAAAGAATTCCAACATTATTAGAAGAATGCACAATGATATCGTAATCAGATCAGCACCGGCTTTAAAAAAATGTACTGGCGCTAGACAAATCTTACCAAAGGTGGTATTTAACTTAGCGTAATCCAGAAGAGCAAAATGTTTAGGCAACGCTGGGCTGTTATGCTAAAGAGTCAGCTTTTTTTTTTTTTTTAATATTTCACTGCATTTGTGACCTTACAGCAGGGGTTGGCAACATGCGGCACCACAGCAGAATTAGATTTTTAGGTAAAAATAAAATAATCCTCTTTGCATTAAAATAAAGCTTTGCAGATCGTTTTAACACAGTTTTAACAATAAATGGTCTTAAACGCTGGAGTTAATGTATAACAGCTAATTCACCCTTTAACCCTGAAGGTTGGTACGCAGACTGCTGGTCACCATATCAATGCAGAAAAGTCTCACCTAGCTAGTAGTTAACGAAAAGGCAAAAAGAAAGATTTAAGATGAACTTCGATAATTTGGAGATTATCTGACTTATTTGCATTTATAATCACTCTAGCTGGTTCCCTGATATGTTTAATCTGCAACCAGAAACTGTCAAACACTAAAAAGTCACACTCACCAGCTTCTTGGTCAAATTCTCCCGTTCCACCTTAAATGGTGCAGCAGTTACATTCTGGCCTCAGGCACCATTTAAGGTGGAATGGGAAAATTCGAACAAGAAGCTGGTGAGTGTGAAGCTGACTTCAGCTTCATAAAAATCAAACGTTGAGAGGCATTTTACAAGAAACTATTCTACTTTTGAGGAAAAATTTCCTGCCGGAGATGCGAGAAAAGCGGCTATAGCTGAGCTAAAGCTTAAAGCAAAGTAAAGTAAGTCTGCCTTTTCGTTTATATTTTTTAGTCTAGTGTTAATACATCAGCACATACTGAGACATATTTACAGCCAAGATGGTAAAACGTTACTTCAATAAAATGTACATAAAATGTTGTGGCTCCCAAGATGGTTTGATTTTTGTTGAAAGGACAAAATGGCTCCTCTTAACATATGGGTTGCCGACGCCTGCCTTACAGAATTGTTATATTTCTCTGCAATGCTAATCCGTCTAGTCGATCTAGTCCCAATTTAACCATTTTATATAAATTTATGTATCAGCATCCATGTCAACAGTTTAGATGAAAAACACTGAATAGCAACATTAGCCTACATATCGGTGTGTCCCTAATTACTAGGCATGACAAACGTCACTGGTCAATTCTGTGACAGTCTGAAAGCAGTCTGTTTGGTAAAACAGAAGTGCTATTTGTTCATTACAAAAAATGCCAAAGGGAATTTGCACAGACATGTTGTGAGCTGACTGGTTGTGTGACTTTATTAACAGCCTGACAAACGTCATGCCTTGTACATCTAGTACAACTTAGGCCTGGAAAACATTTTATTAATAGGGAAATTACTGATCTCTAGTTAAACATGTTACATATCATCACTGCCCAATTAAAACAAGTATCTCCAGAATGGTAAGTTTACAGGAGAGGCCAAAAATGTTCTTTACTTTCAATGTAAGTTAATGTAAAGTGATTTTATTCAAAGCAATTCTGGAGCGTTTCTATTGATCCATTCGTCAGGAAATTGTCACACAGTGTACAGAGCAGCTGCCGGGCTCAAATGATGTAGAAAAGTAAAAATGGAGATGTTTTTCTTTGGACAGCAATGATATGTTTGATTCCAGAGCTCTACCGTGAGCTGATTTGGTTCCTTATTATCTTTTAACACAACTATCAAGTTTGGGGGCTTCTAAGTAGCTTAGCCACCTACAGAACCATTTCTGCAAGCAAAGATTTTGGTTCATTCACTGTTACCTGATCTTTGTCCTGAAATACTCAAGGCTACAATGGTCCCTTTTCTAACCGACAGGGACCGGCACGTAGCTCATAAAGATAAAGTAATTGGATTCACATGCTTTGTAGCAGCAGCAGCATGTGTCTGTCCATGTCCTTCAAGGTTGGTAGCCAAAATGTGAGAGGGAACAGACTTGCAGGGTGCAGAAAACTGAAAAGTGTGCACATTTGTTAAATTGGGGGCTAAAGCTGCTTTTCCACTGCATGGTAAGGCTCAACTCGAGTCGTTTTTGGTACCAGCTACTTTGTTTTCCACTGCAGATATAGGACCCCTTCAATGTAGCTGGTCATCATAGCGACACCAAATGAAAGCGCCGTGAGGGGAAGGAGACAAATTTTGTTGAAAAAAAAAACGAAATACTGCTTAAAAAAAACAGGAGCATTTGGGAAAAACAACATCAGAGTGCAAACGACGAGACAATTCTGGTTGCTCAAAGGAGATGCAAGAGGCTACGCTAACCTGGTAGCTAACGTTAGCATATGTGTTTAGCGAGTCTCTCTGACCAAACAGTAGCCTGCAGCATGTTTGCATCACCTTTTGGTATCGGCTCAGCTCACTTGGAACCTCAACAGCTGTGATACCAAAAACAGTACCCGGGACCAGGTACTAGATTTGCTTAACGGACAACCAAAAAGGTGGGTCAAGCAGAGCCAGTACCATACAGTGGAAAAGCATCTTAAATGGGGTGGTGACAAAGTACACTCTTAAAAAAGATGGTTCTTCAAGGGTTCTTTAGTAAAGAGAATGGTTCTATATAGAACTATGAACACTCAAAGAAACATTTGCATGCTTAAAGGGTTCTTTGCCTCATGACGGAATCGTTCCTCAGACCGATGGAGAATATGTTGTATATGGTTCAAAATAGAACCTTTTTCAAAATGTTCTGTGTAGCACCAAACTATTGTCTCAAGCTTGGCATCACAACAATAGCAGAACCCCTTTTGGTGCTATATAAAAATCTTAAAGTGCCATTTTTTTTTGTCAAGCTTGTAACAATACAAGAACCCTTTTTAGTGTTATATAGAACTATTTCAAAAAGGTTCCAGCTCTAAATAACATTTAGAACTATAGCACCGCATAAAACCATCACTTTTACCAAAGAACCTTCTCTTTTTTTGTCAAGTTTGTAAGAACACAAGAACCCTTTCTGGTGCTATGTAGAACCATTTCAAAAAGGTTCCACACAGAACAATATACAACACATTCTCCATCAACCTGAAGAACCATATCACCGTGCAAAGAACCACTTAAACATGACATGGTTCTATATTGTGGTAGCTAGAATAATATTTAGAACTACAGTTCCAAGTAAAACCATTGTCTTTACTAAAGAACCTTTCAAAACCATCTTTTTAAAAGCGCAGCGCCAGAAACTTTTGACGTAATTTGAAATATTCAGCACCGACGGTGAGATGAACAGTTAGTTTGATTAAGATGTAGCCAGTCAAAACGCCTGCAGACGCTAGTAACTCTGTTCTTCTGAACGGTTTACTGTTACGCATAACTTGAAACGACGTGCCGAAGCGCACAGCCCCAAAAATAACCTAAAAACACATTTCGTGCTGGTCATTTTGAGCAATTGTACTCCGCACTGGAGGGAAAGGTAAGCCTCGGGTACTAACTGTAGTATTAGCAAATTATAACGTGTTAGCTAACAGGTTTCTCAACTGCGCCTCTACCACGAAGTTAGACTAACAGCTAAGCGAACTATTCAGCGGCATGTTTCTGACACCTCGCTGACAGGTCGATACGTTAACAGCCAGTAGTTATTTAACGACCTAGTTAAGCTGACACAAACGCAGGAGCTACTTTTAACTGCTCACAAGCAACACTTTAATGCACTGAAGAGGACTCAGTCGAGCTGGTTGAGTCTAATTCCTTGACATTTATGCCCACGTCAACCGAGGAAGCTAGCAGCGCTCGAATGCTAACTAGCCGTTAGCTAGCTCAGAACCTCAGCTAAACTTTTTCCACAGTGAGCAGCTGCTTCATTTCTACCAAACTCACTCGTTAACACAGCTCAACCGAGACACGGTCGCCTTATTAACACTCTAAAACGCCTGCCAGCGTTAAATACGAGCTATAACAGATTTCAAAGCTGACTTAGGACTTCTTAAAAGCGAGCTGGCTGTAGCTGTTGACACAGGATGAACCGTGTCGTTAGCCGGCTAGCTAACTTCGCTCTATCCTTACCAGGAAGTGCCAGCTTAGCTTCCACACAGTCGGTCCGCGCTGGAACTCGAGTTAGATGATGGCGCCTCAAGTCAGTCCAAGGTCGAGCTTCAGCTCACTTCTCCAACTTCGTTCTTGTGTGGCTTGCCTAGCGCGCAGAATTACGGCGGGTACTCCAAGACTGCTAACGGGTGAGAGATATGCGCGTCCGCAGACCGATTTTCTAGCTCGCCATTCCTGAGGTGTAAAACACACATCCCAGCATGCCCAAAGGAAAGGGGGCGGGCTGCAACACAGACACAAGACAACAACACCAGCGAGAGCAGCAAGTTAGCAGCAGCAGCACACGGAGCCACTGTCGGAGTTCTCTGTGGCATTGAAGTCCTGTTTATCGCAGCTTTACGGCAATTATTTTCTTGTACTAAAACTTAATTACCGAAACTAAGTCTAAAAAACACACTTCTTGTTGGAAAAGTTGAGCTTTCGTAACTTTCTCCGTAGCGCGATACTAGACTGAGGTTTGCTACTTATTCGAAATTTCCGTTCCACCTTAAATGCGCCAGCAGTTACGTGCATCCATTAAAGGTGGAACGGAAATTTGAATAAGTCCACTTCAGCCTCGTCGAGCTCAGACCAAAGGTTTTCTAAGCAGTTGATATTTATCGTTAAGCATATATATATTTATATTAAAAAATAAGGCCAAAACGTCTAAAAAACACATTTCGCGCTGGAAAACTTTAGCTAGCTCTCGTAGCTACGCAACTCCGAGGCCGTGCGTACAGATCACATTAGCCCTCAGATGACCAAGCACTGATTTTGTTTATGTATTTTCCTTTTAAGCTGCCCTAAGGAAACCTCTGACCATAAAAAGTATCATATTTTTATATGGATTTTGAAGGAATGCAAAATTGGAATCCGGCTTTCAAAGGTTAATCATAATCTTATTTTGAAAGTGCGTTACACATACAAGGAATCTGACTTGGTGAGCGCACATGACTGACATGTAACACACTGATCAGACAGTTATTAAGTAAGTACACAGACTGAACAGTTATTTAAATAAGGGACAAATAAAATAAAAATACAATAATTAGAACAAATAACAAGAAAGAGCCAATGTGAGAGGAGCTAAAGAGATGTGTGAATATCTGTTCATTTGATGAATATCTATACATATGCAGGTCTGAGTAGACTATAGACTAAATAGACTAATATTACTGAATGATATGAACATTTGTAAAAATGAACATTTATACAGCTGTGCAAATCAGCATTGTGTTAGAGGAGGAGTTGTACTGTAACACAGGAAGGAGGTTTGTTGGGTTCAGTTCAAAGTGTGACGTGTTCACTGTGGTTAATGAGCACTGCAGCTCTGGGGAAAAGCTGTTAGCATGTCTGATTGTGCCCTTATGAAATTTTCTTTTTTCGCGATTTTTGTTCTTTAAATAAAATCTTATGTAATATTATTGGAGCCTGTAACACATGAATATGTATATGTATGTTCTGTATGAACAGTAAGTAATCTTCATATTTTAAATTTAATAATATGAACAGCATAAATAGTAGACATGTATTTACATTTTAAATGCATTTACATGTTTTTGATGTAAATGTAAATATAAAAAATTAACACTATTACATGTTTAATTCATATCTGCATATATTTTAAGATACTGACATATATGTGCATACACTGGTATATATTTATTCACATTCAGATACATACATACATATATATATATATATATATATATATATATATACACATATATATATTATGGGTGCAGGAAAAAATCGATTCTTAGATGCATCGCGATGCGGACGTGAACGATTCTGAATCAATTCACAAATGTCAAAAATCGATTTTCTAAATATTTAATTTATAACGTAATGTTGACGGAACGCAAAAGGCGGAACTTGGAAGTGCAGCGCCCGGACAGTCTGTGGCGGCACATAACAAAAACACAACTGGATGAGCGAGAAATCCGACCGGCTCCCTCTGCATTAAAAGCCAGGTCAGGAATCACACCATAAATGTTAACATTTTGTCCTTTCAACAAAAATCAAACCATCTTGGGAGCCACAACATTTAATGTCCAGTATGTCTCAGTATGTGTTAATGTCCTAGTATAGGCTAAACAATATAAACGAAAAGATTTACTTTGCTGTGCTTTAAGCTTTAGCTATAGCCGCTTTCCTCCCATCTCCGCCAGAAAACTTTTCCTCAGAAGTAGATAAGTTTCTTGTAAAATGTGTCTCAATGACTGTTTTACGAGGCTGAAGTCGCTTTTTATTCTCTAGCTTGGAACGGGAGAATTCGAAAGAGAAGCTGTCTTCAGCTTCGCCACTTTTTAGTGTGTGACTGTCTCTCGTTGTAGTTTTAACGTACCAGGAAACCAACTGCGCTGCTTATAAATGCGAATAACGCATCGCTGCTATGTGACCTGCAGTCTGCACGCCGGTTCTCAGTCGTTGCGAAACAGGGCTTTCGCACTATGTTGCACACGTCCCGTCTCAAAGATACTTTACTGACACAGCGATCCCCCCGTCTCTACAACAAGACCAAAACCGAAGTTATAAAATCACTAAAGAAAACGGGTAGAATAGCTGTAACATGTGCTGCATGGTCATCCACTGGATCTTATTTCACCGTAACTGCGCATTTTATCGCAGATGAGTAGCTTCTCGTGCTCCAAACAAGAGCACTGAATGAGAGCCTTCTAGTTCACTTGCCACATCACTTCCATTTGTTTTATTAAAAAAGATATTGGAAGTAAATTCATTATGGATCATTACAAATACTTTGCTTTAAAAGTACTAAGTCACTTTAAATAACAATAACACCAAGTCACTTAGTCACTTTAAAATGTATATTGTCTCTATATTCCGTATATATTCTGTGTATATTTTGTGTATATTTAATATATTTCAGTCGGTTTTGCTTGTATTTTTATTTTTACTTATTTACTTTCTGTAGAGTGATTAGCTGAGCCTCACCACAAGCATTTCAATGCATAAATGTCCTGACATGTTGTGCAAATGACAAATAAACTTGAAATTTGAACTTGAAACTTGAGCTCACACAGTGAGAGAATATAAATGCTATATAGAAAAAAAAGATGCATCGAGATGCATAGATAATCGTTTTATAATCGCATCGCAGCCCTCTGAATCATAATCGAATCGTGAGGTGCCTAGAGATTCCCAGCCCTAATATATATATATATATATATATATATATATATATATATGTGTGTGTGTGTGTGTGTGTGTATATATATATATATATATATATATATATATATATATATATATATATATATATATATATATATTTACACATGCATAAGAGTGGAGAAACTGTGCAGAGTCGATGACGGAAAAATTAGGAGTGGGTTAAGAGGCCTATAGTTGCACTTTTGCAACATTTATGAAAAACTGCATGAAATGTATGTAGTTTTTATTTAATTACTGTAAATTTCTACTGCTAAACATGTTTTTGAATAACAATATTACAGCCCAAATAGTTACTTGAAAGATTGCTAAAAAAGTGTAGGCTTATAGTTTCATTACTATCTGTGAATAACAGTATACATTAACATACATCAAACTCAATGGCCTGTTGAGAGCTCAGTTAGCAGAAAAACCTCTCAAAAGCTTGAGGTCAAAAGTTTCTGCTGTGAAAAACGCAATTCAGTTTCTACTGGTGACTTCTTAGGCTTAGTGTTGGTCCAAAAGCAATCTTAAGTGTTTAAACTGAGTCTGCATAAAATTTGCCAGCCAGTTTCCTGTATTGTAGGCCATTCAATGTTTATTAACTAAATATGATTTCATTTTGGACAATGACCACTATGGCTTGGGCTCAGTGTCAGGAAGTCATAGGTTATTATGACCATCTCAGGGCACAACAAACCATTATGGCTTTTTTGGTAATACTGACAAATAAATAATTTTCTTTCACAGTGAACTTTAATTTCACAGTGAACACTGACTGTACAAAACCAATTAGTATATGTTCTAATTGAAATTTTGCCTGGTTTAAATGACACTGAAATGAATTACAGAGGATTTCAGCTAATATAACAAGTGAGGTTTAATATGCATTTTGTTTCAGAGCAGGGGTGGGAAACATGACAATATTTATTGTCATTGAGATAAATTATCTCACATTCATTCACAAAACGCTTGAGTTTTGCATAGATATCATCAGTACTTAAAGAACACTGAGCAACTGCATATTTCATTACAAAGAGATCATAATAGTCCTGTTTAATTGGATTTAGTGCAGTGCAGTATATGAAACATCACTAGTCCTTTTTTTTTCTGTTCCAACTTTTGAAAAACTGAATATTGTGATGCAAATCCTGTATGGAAAAAATGTCTTGCAGTATTGTGATATTATATTTTGCCATATTGTCCACCTGTATTTCAGAGTTAATTAACTTTAAATGTATGTTTTATGTTTGTCCAATATGTTAAATGCAGTAAACAAACAGTCATTGTACATTTAAATGTGCAGAGGTGTGCTTTCCGTGGAGGATGTGCTCTTAGTTTTACTTAGGAAATCAAAATGTAAGTTGACCAGGGCAACCCAGACTTTTGCATATAACTATGTACAGTACAGCATGTGGTTTGTAGATAAGAGAATCTGTGCAGTGACTGTTCACAGACTTTACAGAGCGCTTTAAATTTGCAGTAACACATTATTTGTTGCATGCTATCTTCCTTGCATGTTGAATTAGCCTGAATTTCAAAATAGTAAGCCTGAATTTCTTTAGTTCAGTCCAAATTTAAGTTCTTCACAATAATTTCACTTGAATCCTGATAAATTTCCAAATTCATATAGACTCCGCGTGCGCTGTTCAAGGTAAACAAACTCAAAGAAATATCTCACTAGGCAAGTCCTTTATCTTTGTCAGAAATAAGCTTGATTTACCATGCTGAAATTGAGTACAGCAGGTTGACATGAGATGCCTTATCTTGCATTTAATCAGACGATGCATTCTAAAGCTTTTTTTCTCTCTGTATGACAAGGGAAACAATATTATTCACCTCTGTTTTGACAGTTGATAATCAACAAGTGATGTGTGCAGATTTTTTTTCCGCCTGACACTTCAATAGCGCAGCTGCTAACCTTCGCACAAATACCATATAAAAAAGGTAAAGCACGCGGTGTGTGTTTTCTCCTCTTCTTCAACAACGGCGGAAGATTAAAAGAAACATCTCTGGAAAATCTGTCAATTCTGTTGGCGAATAATGC